GTCACGTTAGAAGCGTTCGTGCTCTCGAGACTAAAAGGTAAAAAAAATGTGTGCATCATCGTAGGTTGTATATACAGGGTGAAACATCTCAACTTATTCAGACACCAATCTGGTTTTTCGTCTGCGTCTGCGTTTTCGTCTCGTTTTTTCCTACCTCAATGTACATTTAAAAAAAAACTTCAAAATGGCATTCTTCTACACCAGCATCCGCCACCAATAATTGAACACAAAAAAGTGCAGGTGAGAATGCAAGTTACATTGCATTATCATAAAGATTCACATACTAAACATCAGAAGAACAAAGTTATTAGAGGACCCCCTTCTAGTATTGCTGAGATACAGTAATTGCAATTGTAAAGGCTTTTTAAATAAAATTGACAAAAATTTCACTTAAACGGGCTGGCTTTGAAACATCCTTTACCTTGAATCCAACCAAGGGAATAGTATCACTGAAATGAAATGCGAATTCCCAACTAATGAAAGAAAATAACCAAACTCCTTTGTCCGGGTTCAATTATTATCAATAAATACGGTATAAATCTGATTCATGCAATTGATTTTCACAGGTCGGTTCCTTTAGGAATATTATTAAAAAAATATAGTCTCCAATAACTCGCACTTTATCGCAATTATGATTAAACTAAAAATGCTTTCTCGGCTACGCGGTCGAAATTCTATAAAATGCATCAAATTTTACCTTCCTACGTTCGAAATTGAGCTGCGAAACCTTCACATTCTAAGTCAAACTGCCAATACCGGCTTCTTTGTTTCGTTGGCTATTTGTATTCTGCCGGTTGAACGGCACAGTCGTGAAGTCGTCGAGTTCTCTTGTTTTTCTACCTGCCCGTTGCAGCGGTTATTACAACTGGCAACACGGTTGAGCTCGCGCTTACCTACTTGACACAGCCTGCGTTTTATTCCCAACGCGTACTGTTTATCGCTTTTATCTCCAGACATACTTTCGTTCATGTGTACTGTGAAGCGGTACATGTGTAAATTTCTCACCGTTGAAAAAATAATTTTTAAAACTGAAAGCTTGAAAAGTTTGTTGTAATTTACAGATTAGATTGAAGCACACACTCCAAAAAATCGGCGAGGATGGCTTTCACGTAAGTGCCGACTAAGTAACGCACTGTAAATACTAATTATGTACTTGCCGTAGCACTTTTGCGTCATTTGCGGAAACGGAGAGCACACAATCATGTGCGAGAGTGGCTATTGTGGCAAGTACTGTTTCGGGCGCGGTCGATTGGCGGGTACCGTAACTTGATCTATTTTCAGAGCCTACTGTGTCCATTGCGTGGATGACTTCTTCAAAGCTGGCACTTGGGAATCGTTTACAGGGGAGGAAAAGTGGATTTGCTTTCTGTGCACTCGGCAAGAGCAAGTGGGCGTGCTTTCAATAAGACCGGACCATATCCTTCGCATTGATAAAATGTTCGATGAGGGTAACCAAATTCCTCTTGTAAATGCTCCTTCGATAAGTGGAAGTAAAATTCGAGTGCTCTCATTGTTCGATGGCATTTCGACAGGTGACTACTGACGTTCTCGTACAATGTGTTTCGAAATTCGCGCACACGGACTATGGGATGGTGTTATACGACAAAAACTGAACAAAAATTTCCTCTACCAGTTTTCCATCAGACTGCTATTTTTCGAGCTACCGCGGTTTTAAAAATCTCCGCCCCCCCCCCCTACCACTGCCACTGGTTAAACGTAATAATAACACATTTTTAAAAACAAAAATAAGTGCCGGTCTGATCAAAAACTGGTAGAGGAACTTTTTATCGAGTTTTCGTTGTATATAGCACCGTCCCACAGTCCGTAGGCGCGAATTTCGAAACACCCTGTATATCAAACTTGGATTTGGGTTTCAGGTTTTTTTGCGTTGAGCAAGTTAGGTATCGAAATGGACGCGTACTACGCGTCTGAAACCGACAAAGGGTGTATAAATGTGAGCGCACACAGCTCTTCAGGGAAGGTAATCAATGTTGGCGATATAACATCTATTACAGAAGAGGATGTGAAGAGAATGTCACCCATACACTTGGTAATCGGAGGACCTCCATGCATTGAGGCGGATTTGGACAATCGCAAGGCCAAGGAGAGCGTTGGTAATTTCAATTAGGTACTTGCGTCAAGGTCTAGATCACCACCTCTTCTTCTAGATTTCGACGGCATGTTTCATCCTTTTCTAGAATTTTATAGAATACTCTGCTTAGTTTCGAAATGTAATGAAAATGGATTTTATTGGTTATACGAAAATGTTACACCTGAGGGACTCAGTCCTAAGGATTTGATCAACAGATATTTGCAATGTGAGCCGTTTATGCAGGATACCATTTACGTTTCGCCTCAACACAAAGAGAGGCTTTTCTGGGGCAACTTACCCTTGCAACTCCACACTATTGCTGTAAGACGAAACAACATGCAAGGAGACTTACTGTCCTGTCAATCGGCTACTAGTTCGCAGAAAGTGATATCTGAAAGTAAGTGCAATAAAGGGCATAGGTATAGAGGGATAACATATGGGTTAGGCAACTTGTACACTCAATTTTCTTTTAAATTCCATTTGTAGGGATAAGTTGCGATTCTCCAATCAGTGATGAACAAAACAACAACAGCAGTGAGTTCATCGCCGAGCTTGAAAAGATACTCGGATTTACCGTCAGCAATTTTAATATTTGGAATATGTCCGCGACTCAGAGGAAAAGAGCGTTGCAAGCTGCAAGAAGTATACCCGTGATTATGTATCTGTTTACCCCCTTTCAGCAAATTTGTGTGGCTTAGTTTGCCAACGAAATTAATACCTTAATGTGCAATTATGTCGAGGAAAATCAAATATTCGTTTGTAATGTATAAATAAATATGTTTCTGATTTGGAATTTCATACTAAACAATTACAGCACATACGTTAGACACGGCAATAATTCGTTGAGTGACACGTGCTTGTTTTTTGAAAGTTCGTTTCTGGCATTTTATCGACCGACAGCTTTTGTTTGTCCTTTTAGACAAAAACAAAGGTTGTAGTGTACTTAACCGCCAGGTTTACCGCGAACCTAATACTTTAGCACAGAAAGTTCTGAGCGGTAACCAGATCCCACTTAAATTTAAAATCAGGTAGTGACACGTGAAGGAAATGACTAAAGCAGGGCCCTCTCGTGGTAGATAAAAACAAAGCAATGACCTGGAGTGCAATATATTGAATAAGGTTTCAGAGTTTGGGCGATTTGTAACTTAGGCGACCCCAACCAACACCGAAAATTTTGACTTACCCTATACTTTACAGTTGGCAACACTGGGGAACAAGTGACTACTACAAACAATGGCGAAAAACGACGTATCGTTTTTTTGTTGGCCTGATTTAATAACGTGGCATGCGGGCGCCACTAAGAGGCAAATTTTGTTTCTTTATTTTTTATCGGCAAGTATTTTGTATTTGGAATGACTCGTTAAAGGAACGTAATCATTGATTTTCTGTGAATAAAGTGTAAACCAATATAAGGTTTTTCGCTATTCAGATTAACAGTGGGACATCTGGCGGCAGCACTTTGTAATTAATATTGGTGGGACAATACTATGAGGCGCCGTTCAGGACTAAATTACGTTTTTAAAATATAAACAAAATTCACAGTATATACTATATATGTCTATATCCATTTAAATACCCTGTATATTTCAACGTCGGATGCAACCGGTCAAGTAGTTGGGGATTCTGTGGACATGAGCCACCGCCATCACTACCTGTCGATATTTTTTTGGTAGTTTCCGGAGGATGTTTGGGGATTTGAGTGCTTGGCGTCACTTCAGCACTTGTTGTTTGTTAAAGCTTGTTGGTGGTGGGCTTATTGTATTTTAAGTTGTATTAATAGAGTTTAGCTCTGTTTTTGGTGTTTGTGCGTAGGATTCAACAACTTTGGTGTTGAGTAAAGTATTTTATGTAGTTTACTCTTATGTACTTATATGAATTGTGCCATTTGTTATATCAGATATTTTCCATCTACCACTGTGCTAATATGTAATTTACAACATGCGAGGTGTTAACTAATATCCATGTGCTTGTGGAAGTCTACGATATCTCAGGTTTAGACCACTCACTTACACGGTGCACGGGGTGTACCTATGTAGAACCTCGACTTCCGTGAAGTAGGGCATGCAATGCTAGGTGTATTTAGTTTAGGGTGACTCCGTAACATTCGCGAATGCGTGTGCCTTTTATGTAACTCATATCTTTCTACCGTGAGAGGGAGCTCGGACGCTAGAATAGAAAGGTATTCTAGAGCTAAGGCATAAAAGGATCCGAGGACCCTCGAACCTAACTAAAAAGTGAGTTGCCTTCTAGCCGCGATTAAAGGGAAGTACATGACATGTTGTGACGAATACTCTACGCATACTGTTCAAACGTACCCTGCTACTTGAATTCATTCATTAATTAAGGCAGTGGCACGTGTTCTGCTTAGGTGGTTGGTGTTTTAATTTGCTTGTGATTAACATAGTTTGGGTTTTATTCAAGGCCAAGGTTTTTCTCAAGTCGCGCTCTTTTTCTCCTTGGTAGTCTGCTTTTGCGAGAGTGCGGCACCTTTAGGTTTTGCTTGCTTTACTTTTAATGTACCACAACCAAATTCCCGGGTTTTCAGAATAAGTTTATAATAAATAAACTCGCAGACATTAAAGCGTTTTATTTGAGCGTTCCTGCCCGACTGAGTCCCGAGTCATTGTATTAGCTTCGTGTAACGTAAAGGGGCCCTACCTCAGACGATCCGATCACGTGTCATTCTTTTGTTTGAAATTTGAACGGGAACCGTGTTTTGATGAAACCTGTCATCTTCACTTCGAGCCTGGGGTTGGGTTAAGATCAGTACACCGTATACACGATCTTCAGATACCTTCTGGACTGGGGAGTCCGGCTAATTAACAATAATAATTCAAATGCAAATCATATGTTTTACGTACCTAGGCATTTTAATTACGATTTAAAACCACATTTGTGGCAAAAGAAACACATTTAATGCTTTTATTGAAAACAATCAAATCAATCACACTTACAACCTTTTCAATCTTTGTGTATTACGACATGTTTTTTCAAGTCGCTTTTACGAGTAGTGGCATAATGACAAATTACACAATTAAAATGTTTAGACGCTTTATGCAAAACCACATGCTGTTTCAAATTGCGTTTTCTATTAGTTACATAATTACAATTTGCACATTTAAAAACGTTCAATTTATGATTCAAGAGATGTTTTTTTAAATACCGTTCAACGTTTGTCACATAATCGCAAACATTACATTTATAATGTTTCGAATCATTGTGCGTTAAGAGATGTGTGTTAATACGGCTTTTAAATTTTGTGGCGTAATCGCAAACGTCACATTTAAAAACCTCTGAAACAATGTGTTTTATGCGATGGCGTTGCAAATTCACCTTGGTATTTGTCGCATAATCACAACTATCGCATTTAACGTCTTTTAAATCTCTGTGCGTTAAGAAATGTTGTTTCAAAATGTACTTATTATTTGTTGCATAATTGCAAACACCACATTTAAAGTCTTTCGAAACGTTGTGCGTTATTGCATGCGACTTAAGGCAGCTTTTAATATTTGTGACATAATCGCACAAGCCACATTTAAAAAGTTGCGCGGTATTGTGTTTTAGGAAATGTCGCATTAAACTTTCCTTAGTATCTGTTGCGTACTTGCAATTCGCACATTTAAATACTTTGTGAATCAAGATGTGCGCGTTTAAGTACTGTTTAACGTTTGTTACATAATCACACTTTGCACATTTATGAGTATCCTTGTGCGTCAAGAGGTGTCCTTTAAAATACGAGTCATTACCCGTTGTGAAATCACAAACGTTACATCGAAATTTTACCATATCCGTTTCTTTCCCATTGATCTCCTTGCTCATCAATATTTCGTTTCGTTCTTCTTTTACGATTTCGAAAAAATCATTAGCAACAAACATGTTTCTTTCAAGGGATGAATTTATTTCTTCCTCTTGTTTCGGTTCAATTTTAACCAATGCAGTGTTGTCATCCATGACAATCTGTGGCATAAAAATTCTTTTCAAATCCTATAATCGGGAACATGGGACACTTACCTGGACCAATGACCGATATTCAGAAAAATGTAAAAATAAACCACTTAAGCTTTTGGTGTAGATGTACCTAGTCACAATTTATAAATGAATTTTGTTGGTGCTTGAAAAATAAGTGCTCGCTACAAATAAAAATAGATAACCTGTGTCTCAATACAAACATTCATTCAAGCGCGGTTGTCACATTTCGCAAGATGATTTTTCAGAGAATTGATAAATATGAGGAGATCTCAATAGATTTTTGGATATGAATTGTAAAAAAACATTGAATTTAAATTAACGATTAGTAAAAAAAACGTCTTGTGGCGATTAAGTTGCCACGACGGCAACGCCGTATCGTCGTTTCACGTGGATGATATCCGTAGTCTATGGTTTTTTCACGTTAAAAACTACTTTTGCGGGTGTTATGCCATGGTAATCTCAAGTGGATTGAAATTACCCTTCAATTCCTCAAATTGTTCAAAGTAGCATTTTATTATATATTAACTGAACTTTCTAAATTGACATCAAATTCAATTCCGTTTTATGCCATCTGACCCACTTCCGAAGTAGGTGAGTTGACCTCAAAGTGGCGACGCGCCGCTTGAACAACTGGCAACAAACTAAAACGTGGTTCAACCTCATTGGTCAAAACGGCCATCCGTTTAAAACAGAGCTTAAAATTTTTTAGGCTCTTCAGATCCTAGATAGATTTTTCGGATCCTCGGTTGCTTCAAATTCCGTGGATTTCATCGATTTTTCAAATTTTTTCCGATACTTGTGATCCAGCAGGTATCTTAGAATTGATCGGAATCTTCGGATGTTTCAAATTCTTGGGGATACTTCAGTTTCTTTGGGGAATTTGGATTTCACAGATTCTTTTCATTTACCGAATTATTCGGACTCCTTGGTATTTAATCGGATTTCTCGAAATCTCGGAATTCTTCGGACATTTTTAGGGTCTTTTATTTTATTTTTATTTTATTTTATTATCCCTCTCTTGTTTTGGGCCCTCAACAGGCATGCGCCCAATTACAGAGTGACCCGCACAATGCTATTTAGAGGTGCCTCTGCAGAAGGTCTTAAGATGGTCTATACTACTCCGGTATTTACCTTACAAATTAGGAAAACTGCAGGAAAACCTAATTCGGAGTAGCCGGTAGAATGCTCGGAACTGGTCTAAGGTAATTTCCATCTCCGCCACAGATGAAAAATTCACCTTAACTCAGGTTCGAACACCCGACCTCCGACCTCTTCAGATAGATTCCTCATATCCTTCACGTTTTTCAGGACCTTCAGATTCTTTAGTTGTTTTTTAAATTCTCGAGATTCGTGCGATTTCTATCTTCAGATTTTTCAAATTGTTCAGACTTTTTGGGTGCTTCATATTCCTCAGATTGATGGAATTCGAATGATTCGGACTTACTTTTTTTTAATTCCGTGATTTAATCGGAATCTTCGTATTCATTGAATTAGTTGAATTCTTCACATTTTTTGAGGTGTTCAGATTTCTTCACTTATTTGAGAACCTTCAGATTCTTCATATTTTTTAAATTCTCCAGATTCGTCGGATATCTCAGATCCTTAAAATTTGTCTTTATATTCTTCACCGTTTTCTTCTTCTTCGGACCAACCGCATTCTTTGGTTTCTTCAAATTTTTCACATTCTTCAAATTTCGCGAATTTATACAATTTTTTGGATGCTTTGAATTCTTTAAATTCTTCGGATTCTTCACGTTCTTTAAGGAACTTCCGTTTCTTCAGATTCTTCTTTCTCGAATTTTTGCTCGGTTTCTTCAAATTTTTCGGCATTTTTTGATTCCGTTGATTTAATCGATTTTTTTTATGCTTCAATTTTTTTTAATTCTTCGGATTCTTCCGATTTTTCACATTTTTCAGATTCTCTAGGGTCTTCATGTTCTTCAGATTCGTCGTATCTTTCGGATGCGTCAAATTTTTAGTGCGAGCATACGCTTCCATAAGAAAATAAGATCGAGAATCACATTCCCGGTTTCAGCCAGTAAACCAAAATGCCGCATGATTCCCAGGATTCCTCCGACGAGGTTCTAGGAAAAAGAAATTGACGGCCTGTTTCACGGTCAGCGAAGAACGACGACTGCAAAAACTGCTAATGGAGATTCCACCATATTACTTGTACACACCATTATCGTTATACGACAATTTTTGTCTGCTCTCGTTATTTTGCTTTCGGCTGTTGCGGATATTATTTACAAGTTCTTGAGCCGTTTTCCGCTTCTTACTTCTGGCTTACTCTTTTCTTCATTGTTTCAATTCAATTCAATTTTGGATTTACTCAATATTGCGCAAGGAAAATTTATTAGGGCCATCTTATCAATTCAAGAACGCCACGAGACAAGTTTCTACCTTACCGGTAGATTCAAGTGAAAACCACCATTACCTGTGATGTGACCTGCTTACATGAAATTTGTTTACCTACACTTCGATGTAGTTCCTAACGGCAAGGATTAACGAGCTTGTAAATCGCTCCGATATATCTGATTTTACTTATTCCACCTGTGTCGCTACAAGGGTATATTTCCGAGACTCGATTGCTTTTGTTAGTTTGATTACATTATTCAGTATTAATAACAGTTTTTATATCCGCGTGTCAGACGTTAGCATTGTTTACGCAATATTTTATGTGCCGCGCTATTCACTACCACTCTTATTTGTTTGTTTCTGTTCTGTTCCAGAAAAGGCTGAACGCGCCCTTTTGAGTTGACGAGGTGGCGACACAAAGGTAATTTTTTTTGTCGACTCCTTGATATAACGTTTGATATCATACTGGTTTTCGATACAATCGAATTGTTATTATTATACTTGCTTTTTCTTCACATAACGATTCTAGCTCCGTTGTCTTCTGCGGAAGCCTGTTTTGATATTAATATTTAATTTGGCTACGTGTTGATCCCATTTTTACGAAGAATTAATTAAAATATTGACATTGCAGATATAATGAGTAATATTTTTGAGATGCATCGTTAGTTAGCGGAACCTTCTGCAGTCCAGAAGGTATCTAAGATCCTGGGCGTCGATTCCCGAAGATGTGCTTTGTTCACATCGACTGACCTTGATGGGAACGTGAATGTCACTGCATTCTCGAACCTACCACATCGAGCGATAAGTTGTTTTGCTATAGAGATTATTCAGTGCCCTAACCTATAAATTCACATATTTTCTGTGAAATAAAACATGGAATTGTTCGAGGATTTTCTGGTTATTAATAACAGTATCCATAATGCAAAAACAAAACAAAATACAAAACTGACAAATGACAGTTCAATTCTTGTCTGTGATTGGTTAGCGCATAAAGTTTGTCCACGATTCGGGAATGCAGCTAAACTTGAACTTATCCCTATCGTATACGATCATGACGTCATGGCAGCCGGTCACATCACATGCTCATCACGGCGCATATCGACTAACTTCGGGAATCGATGCACTGGATACGGTCACCTTAGATTAAAGTTGTATTTTTAAACACACAAAAAACACACACACTCAAAAACAGATTCGTACACAAAGAATTGAAGTCGCTAATCAATCTAAATGAGTTCAAAACAATCACATTAAAATTAATAAAAATTATTATTGTTACAGTTTCACGTACAAATATTTCGAACGGTGTCTCTATATATGCCAACGGTACTTGTCGTTTGAATGGTGTCCCTATATACGCTAACGGTATTGGTCGTTTAAAATCAGACCACAATACTCATATGTTACCCCTAATTGAAATTCTCCCTAATGGTGTAAATAGGTCGATGTGCAATATCTACGGTTACATATCAACAATTATTTACTTAAATGTTTGTTTGAAAATACTTTTATCGCAAAGAAGCTTATTATTAAACTAACCAGTAATTAATTATAGTCCTCAATAAAACATTATTCATCTACAACAAAATTAACCTGGCTTTGTAAATCCTTTTGTTACATATTTATTTGTGACAAGGCGTGCTTCAATTTTGTTGCATATCACAATTAAGGGATTCGAAGGTTGCACGCAATTTTTTTCAATTTCTGTCATCGGTTTAATAGTAATGAAAGAAATATTTCTATTAAATGCTTTAATATTCAACAAAATTACACTGTTTCTAAATCAATAAAGTAGGTAATACATTTTTATCAACTAAACAAGTCCACGATTTTCCATATTACTTGTCAATCTGTATCTGTGGAAATTTTACTTCAGCGTTTTTATGAGTGATGGCGCCCAATTACAGTCCGAAACGTTGTGTCTCAACCAATGTCCCTCTGCATTTGTTGCAAAATCACGAATGTCACATTTAAAAACTTAAAATATCTATTCGTGCCATAATTACAAGCATCACATTCTTTCTTTCGAATGATTGTGTTTTAAAAAATGTTTCTTCAACCTGTACTTCGTATTGGTTACATAATCACAAATATTACATTTAACATGTTTCGAAGCATTGTGCATTAAGGAATGTTTTGTCAAGTTATACTGTGTATTTGTAACAAAGTCGCAAGTATCACATTTAAAATCTTTCGATTTACTATGTGTTGGCAAATGTCTCTTCAAATGGCACTTCGTATTTGTCGCGTAATCACAAAGATCACATTTAAAAAATTTATAAGCTCTGTGTGATAAAATATGCCGTTTCAGAGTGCGTTTAATATTTGTGGAATAATCACAAATGCCACATTTAAAAATATCCGAAACGTTATGTATGGCAAAATGTTGCCTCAACTTTTGCATAGTATTCGTAGCATAATCGCAAACATCACATTTAAAATCGTTCGAACGATTGTGTTTTAAAAAATGTTTCTTCAAATTGTTCTTCGTATTGGTTACATAATCACAAGTATTACATTTAAAATCTTTTGAATCATTGTGGTTTAAAATATGTTGTTGCAAATTGTTCTTTGTAGTTGTTGCATAATCACAAATAGTGCATTTAAAATCTTTGGAAACATTGTGTGTTAATAGATGTCGTTTAACATTTCGTTTATGTTTTGTGGCATAATCACAATGGTCACACTCAAAACGTTTTAAATCATTGTGTGTAAAGGAATGTCGCCTCAATGTATTCTTAGAATTCGTTGCATAATGACAAATATCACATTTAAAACGTTTTGGATCATTATGTTCTAAAAAATGCTTCCTCAAATTGCACTTCGTATTCGTTACATAATCACAAGTATTACATTTAAAATCGTTTGAATGTATCGAAACATGTTGTTGCAAATTGTACTTTGTATTTGTTGCATAATTGCAAATACTACATTTAAAATCTTTCGAAGCGTTGTGTGTTAAGAGATGTTTTTTCAAATTGCCTTTATGGTTTGTGGCATAATCACATTTACCACATTCCATAACAGCTTTGTGTAAAAGGAGATGCCGTTTCAAACTTAGCTTCCTATTTGTTGCATAATTACAAATTGAACATTTTAATTCTTTAAATACTCTGTACGTTAGAAGATGAGCTTTTAGATATTGTTTACTGTTTGTTACATAATCACAGTGTGCACATTTAAAATCGTGTGTCACAAGGTGTACTTTAAAACATGGTTCATTATTAGTCGAGAAAACCTTTACACTTTGCAATTTGGCGCTTGACGAATGATCTTGTTGCAGCATTTCTTTCCCATTAGACTCGTCGTAACGATATTCGGCACTAGTCGTAATCTCATTATCTTCTTGTTTTAAGGTTCCCAAAAAATCATTGGTTACGAAAACGTTTTTTTCGAGAGAAGACTTTATTTCGTCTTCTAGGGTTGGCTCAATTTTAACAAGTGAAATGTTGTCATCAGCCATAGCTGTCTATAATAATTTTAAATTTGTATAACCATAAACGGGACTTACCTCGACATGTAATGCCTTATTCTTCATAAGCACAGACCATTCTACGAGCAAACCTAAATTGTGAATGATGTTTCTGAGAATCTAAAGCTTCATTCACAATGCAAGAATTAAGTAATTACACTTAACGCAGAAAATAGAAAAAGACTGTTCACCATAGCATTGATTATGCACGAGTAGCGAATATTGCACTCCAGCGCCTCCACACAACGACTCTGACATTTCGTGAGGTGAAACAAATCTTTGATCGCATTGTTTACCATTCATGTTAAATAAAAATTCAGCCATAATGAGTGGTTTGTAGCAGTCTGTACGGTTTAAGAGATTAGAGTATAGTTTTTCACGTTTGATTTGCATCTGATTTACTCGTAGAAATTAAGGTTGGGTCAGTTGCGTGTTACATTACAGTGTAGTTACAGACACATGTCTTGCAGGAATGTTAAAAATTCAGGCTTCTTTTCTTGTTGCATTATTGTTTAATTATATTAAATTTCGTTTCTAAATTGAGACATACGTAAATATAATCAAACGTGCAAATTAGTTCGTAAACCCGATTTCTGACATGAATTGTCTCCAGAAACACCATTTTTAATATATCCTTTGGTGGGTGAAAAGTGGAAAATATCAGGAAACCATCTACACAACAAGTCGGGAGCAAGGGGCCGTTTTACAAGTCATTTAACGCAGTGGTCCCTTTTAAAAGCTTGATCATAACCTCAAATTGGAATTATTGCACACAAAAGAAAAATTACAAAAAAAAACGGTCATTCTGGAGACGAAACTATGTAAAATAATAGCAAAACAGATGTGTACTTACACTCTTCTCACTTTCGTTATCCAATTTTCTCTTCTTTGCAACTCATATGGTCTGTTGGGAAAGCTGTAGAATTTTACAGAAGAGTCCGTATTTATGTACGAATTACTGCATCCAATAACACAACAAGAAACTCTGGACGAACGAAAAGTGTTTTTCGAAGTCATAATTGTTGTTTTATTTGGAGTAAGCTTGCAAATATTAATACAGAAATAAACCGATACAACGAAATATCGAAGGATCCTCAGTATTACAATCACTTTTAACGACAATTTATTTTAATCTTACAAAATACATTTTATAGTTAACAAAAATGCATCAAATTCATGTCTTTGGGCTTTGAGATAATGCTCTTGGTTTTTTTCCCAACGATCTTGGTGCATAAATAACGATTTTGACATGTTTTGATCAAAATCCATGTGGTCCATAAAAATAGATTAAATTCATGTTTAGATCATTGAGATAATGCTCTTGATCTTTTTCCCAACGATCTTGGTGCATAAATAACGATTTTGACATGTTTTGATCAAAATCCACGTTTTCGCAAAAAATTCATCAAATTCATGTCTTGGGCATTG